TGAATAGTGTACAAATAAGTTCACTACAGTATGAAGCACACATACAGGTGCCAATCAATTGATGGATATGGTTATCAATTACTAGTCTTTAAAAAGCACTCATTTTCAATTTATAGTTATTTAGTTAGTTGAAAGTTTTTATTGTAAGCGTTTATGTTTTCAGTATTTCTAATACATTTTTGTAAATGTTGATTTTTAAAAATAAAGTAACTTTCATTCAATAATTAATTCCAGATAAATATTTCCATAATTAAATGTCATTTTAGATATGCTCATTGTGTATGGGTCTTATAAGGTCGTTTGAATGTATTCAATAAATTAAAACTTTAGTTTGGATCAAATAAAAATACACATCAATAGATAATAGGTATATTAAGGTGGAGTTTTGGATCAAGTTTTTAGTAGATAAATATATTATCATTAAATTTAGAGATCATTAGCAATTTAATGTAGAAAATTCATTGTGGACTTTACAATGTGTTTATTAAACTATAGGATTTACACTGATTAATAAAGTACTCCATTATCAAATAAATCACAGAAAGTAAAATTACATTTTAGGATAAACTGTGAGCCCATACCTGTCATAGTCAAACTACAACCAGCACTGAGCACCGGTATAGCACATGAGTCCTACAGCACCATAGGTTTTACATAAAAGGTTGGACACCAATCCAATCAGTCTTTTAGTTTTACTTTTGCTTTTCACTCGAAAGCATTTTATATCCAAAAATCATTTTCATTTCGTACGAAGACTTCATAAGTCTATTAACTCATCTATTTATGCGACAAATACTAGTATAACGACAATGTTTTTCTCGCGTATCATAAACTCGTTGATCAGATCCCTGGCCGGTCTGCCGGCAACTGTGCCATACTTTGCGCTCATTCCGGCCGTAATCCTATACTTAATCCACAGCCAGCGCCAGCACTTGTCATACGTAGACAGACACCCCTTACAGCCCCACTACGACTACATAGTGATCGGCGGCGGCTCCGGCGGGTCAGTGATGGCCTCCCGGCTGTCGGAGCTCAACACCACTACTGTCCTGCTCCTGGAGGCGGGTCCGGCAGAAAACATCATATCAGACATACCTCGGATGGCACTCTTCCTGCAGAAGACACCCATAGACTGGCAGTTCATGGCTGAACCACAGGAGAAGTCGTGTTTTGGGCTCCGGGGTCGACGCCAGCCGTGGCCCAGGGGTCACGTGATGGGCGGTACGTCCGTATTGAATACAATGCTGTACTCGCGGGGTAATCATCGCGATTACGACCACTGGGCGGCCAATGGGTGTCGGGGCTGGTCGTGGGCCGACATATTTCCTTATTTTATTAAGGCCGAGAACAATACCGACCCGGCGCTGGTGGGCACCGGTTATCACGGAGTGGACGGCCCTCTCGAGGTCACAAACGAGGGTTATTGCGAAGTGGTGTCCAAAGCATTCCGAGACTCCGGGCCCTACTTTGGTTACCCTATCGGCTCGTCTACCGGTGCCGAGCAGTCTGTTTTTGAGTTACCCCAGCGTACGATACGCAATGGGGAACGGCTGTCAGTGGCCAGGGCTTACTTGGAACCGGTAGCTGCCCGTCGACCCAATCTGCATATCTTTACGAAGAGTTTTGTGACGAAAGTGTTGTTCAACGACGAGAAGCGGGCGGTTGGGGTCGAGTTTGTGAGGTATGGCCGCAAACACGTGGTTTGGGTGCGCAAAGAAGTCATACTATCTGCCGGTACTGTAATGTCGCCCAAAGTGCTTATGCTGTCAGGTATGTGACTCAGACAGGACTGGGATCTGGATAGGGACTTGGATTAATATTAAGATTTTATAATATACTGTAGTTTATAGTAAAATGAGTTATGTTTGTGTCAGGCATTGGACATAAGGATCACTTGGAGAGTATGGGCATCAAAGTGGTGGCCGACCTCCCAGTAGGTGACAATCTGATGGACCACGTGGCCAGTAGTGTGGTCTTCACACTCAACGATACCGTGTCCTACGACATGATGCGAGAG